TGACCAATATGGTGGTATATTTTTAATAAAAAAGTTATGTTTACCCTGTACTCTCGGATGTTCACATCCGTGGATATTGATAAAATCGATATACAAAAATAACGAAGCGTCACATCAGAACCGGATTTTGTTCCAACTTTAGAGACTTCATAAGCTCTCGATTGGTAAAAAAGAAATTTTTTTCTATGGATCTTGACTGAGGTAGTTAACTTTTGATATTAAAGAGTTTCGAAGTTTTGAATTTTTTAAAAGCTTTTCCCATAGCATTAGAAAATTTGGTGCTTGCTCCGCGCTGAACCAAATTGGATAAAAATTGGGCACCAGATGCAAAATTTGTCGGTGAATCCGAGAGCGGGTTCCTTATAATGACATCTTCACTTCTTTTTTGGCGTCGATATAATCAACGTAGTTTTTGCCTAAATTTTATTTTTCTCATTGGCACCATTTTTTCAACCAATGAGAAAAATAAAATTTAGGCAGAACCACGTTGATTATATCGACGCCAAAAAAGAAGTGAAGATGTAATTATAAGGAACCCGCTGTCGGATTCATCGACCAATTTTGCATTTGGCGCCCAATTTTTATCCAATTTGATTCAGCGCGGAGCAAGCACCAAATTTTCTAATGGCTTTAGCAATACAAAAATTTATCGAAGAGAAAAACAAACTGTTAAAAACCAGATGTAATCATAAAAATATTTCACCCTTCGACAAAATAATGACAACAGTTGTTAGCTGTGAAATAGATGTGATTCAACGTGTTCACCCTCACCCTTACGAAATGTACTAGAATCTGCCGTAAACGTTCAGTAGTCTGTTGCAGTTCAACCCCTGTGCGTCTTAGCTAGGTCATACTCTCTCGTACGTACGTATCTATAAAGAATTCTTCTATGTGACTTAAAATCATTCATATAATTTTCTTAACAACAGAAACAACACAAAGTTCCTCTTGTAATCTCAATTCAAAAAAGGAATACCATGCAATATCAACCAAAATACCCAGCGGTGTCGATATTTCAGTGAGGACTTGCATTCAATCATTGCTTACAAAAACTTAACATCATCCTAGAGCGACTACACAACTCTTAGGTAGACACCCCAATCTCACAAAAATCGTATGCAAACGAAACAAATAAGGGGAAATTCAACTATGAATATAAGCATGTCTAATGTAAATTATACGGTCATAACTACTTGCAACAAACTTTGTTCCAACAACTTTTTTCAAAAACCTGACCCTGTTGAATTATCGTTGACAAGTTTATTGTCAAAATACTTTTTTTCTCCCTGGCAAAATACATGGGAGATGTTGTAATTAATTTTTGACCCCTTTATCGGCTTTTCCGACCATACATATAAGGGTTATCGTGGAAGAGAGCATCAAACTGTGCAACATATCAAAAAGCATGACGGGCGGGGGAGCTCCCCTTAAGTTATTTTTTAAGTAGAAACAAAGTACAGAATACTTCAGAATTTTTCCCAGTTCTCGAGCGCTCGTATATACAAAGTACGTCTAAGTTCGCAGACTTTATTGCTCTATATTTATGTTATTATACGTGTTTATCGTGTAGCTTTTATCGCTTATCCTACATATATTATTTGTTATGTTTATTAAGAAAAATATGTTATACTTATTCAAGAATAAAATCGCTGTAGGTGAAAATAAAGCATGAAGGAAGGTTTTCTATCTTACATTGCGAATCTTAGTAAAAGATAAAAAAGCACTTGAAGTACAAGTATAAAGTATTTTTTGAAAGTACAGAATAAAAAGTACAAGCACTTTTACTTTTACTTGTATACTTGTACTTGTCCATGCTTTGATCGCAGCACACTGATGTGTGGCACTGGCGAAAATAAAGTGGTCAGGTAACTTTTACTTATAGTGTATTGTTTAATCAAGTGAGTTTTTGTCTATGTTTCTTTTTCTACTGTTTTGCTGCTTGTGAGATAATGCCATTTTTTGTTGAATGAAATATATATTCAGGTAGGAGTAAACGGTGAGATGCGAGTGCTATTGATTTTTATACGTTCTTTTTTCTGCATTTACATTTTGATTTTGTTCATCAAAAAACAACAACAGTGAGTTTTTGTTTCTTTTTTTCATCATTTTTCAAATATATTCGATAAACACTAAAGTTCATTCCTCTCGTAGAAATAACACAGAAATGTGAATCTTTTATGTATTGTAGTATCACTGTCTAACATGTGCTTTTAAAAGGATATCACCAGTTTATTTTTTTCAATCGTTTGCCCTGGTATTATAGGCACAAATAGTACTCTTCGAGGCGCATCTAACCATATAATATACTAGATATAAAACAAGTATTGTAACGAATTATAGAAGAAATACAGTTTTGGGCGCTGAGATGTGTAAAATGTTGCTTTAGGTGTTTCTTCAAAGCCGTTTCAGACACACTATAATATAGTATGTCTGTACGGTATAGACATTCTGTATTCTGTCACCTAGACAACTTCATTTTATTTTAAGTATGGAATGGGTGAGGGTGATACTAGTATCAGCAGGGATCACGAAATAAAAAAATTCCCGACTGTCACTTTCTTTCTTTCGGAAAAAATGAGCCTTTCGTTGGAGAGTCTCCTGTCCAAAACCATTAAATTTTATTTATGCGTTTTCTCCGTCATGCAGCATGGAATTTCGCTGAAATTTGACTATAGGTAGTCAACCATGCTGATTCCGAATATCAACATGAGACGGGCCAATAGGCCTCCAGAGACCGGTTTTCTGGAAAACCAGTTTTCCAGAAATTCCAGAAAAACACCAAAACATTTCTTAACGAGGCGTAATTGTAGCCCGCACATTTCTGATTAAAATGAGACCTCTCCCAGCTCTACACGACTTTTCTTTGCAAAGTTATAGAATTTACAAGAAAAGCCCTAAACGTTCATTGTCAGCTCAAAGCTACAGAAATAAGAAGAAAGTAATTTAGGGCGTTTCTTGTAAATTCTATAACTTTGCAAAGAAAGGTCGTGTAGAGCTGGGAGAGGTCTCATTTTAATCAGAAATGTGCGGGCTACAATTATGCCTCATTAAGAAATGTTTTGGTGTTTTTCTGGAATTTCTGGAAAACCAATTTTCCAGAAAACCGGTCTCTGGAGGCCTATTGGCCCGTCTCATGCTGATATTCGAAATCAGCATGGTTGACTACCTATAGTCAAATTTCAGCGAAATTCCATGCTGCATAACGGAGAAAACGCATAAATAAAATTTAATGGTTTTGGACAGGAGACTCTCCAACGAAAGGCTCATTTTTTCCGAAAGAAAGAAGAAACGGGGCTCCTCGGTTCGTCCGAGATTGGTCCCATTCCCGATTAGTCCCACACTAATTGTTTCTTGATTCGTCCCATCGTCAATTCGTCCCACTCCCGATTCGTCCCATCCCCGATCCGTCCCGTTCCTGATTCGTCCCATTCCTAATTTATCCCTAATTGTTTTTGGAGGAAGCAATTAGAACTTGGTCGAAAAGTTATAGAATAGTGTATTATCCTCCCTTTGCAGTTGTACAATACTGAACAGTCATGCTTTGCTTCGCGTCTACCGAACGTTCGAAGGCTGTGTTGAACTCCAAAGGATATCAGTACACCAAAAAACGAGAAAACAAGACGATGAACGAACGGTGATGTCGCGATCGTCGTTGTTCAAGCTTTCTTTCCTTGTGTTCCAAAGATGTATCTATTATTCGTTTTCAATCCACTCGTATGTGCCAGGCGTTGACTTCAGCAGATGCTATCGTTGACGAGACTGTTACGCGAATGAAAAAGAGAGCGCAAGTTTCAGCAGCACCAAGTTGAAGCAACTATGGCGCAAGTGCACAAACGCAAGAAAATCAGCGACAGTATTGACTCTCGGTTGACGATCCTGCTCGTACAACATGCGCAAGGAGAATTGATCAATTTGCAGTTGGCCATCAAGTGTGGCAGGACTGTCAAGATGAAACTGATCAAAAAGTAAAAGACAAGGATACGAGTGTGACTTCGATATACTGTTGTGTTTTAATCGTAATAAATAGTTCTTTCTCTGTAAAACATGAATTCTTCAATGAAAAACCATTAGGGACCAATTAGAAATGGGACGGATCGGGGATGGGACGAATAGGGAGTGGGACGAATTAGGAAAAAATTAGTGTGGGCAAATCCGGGATGAGACCAATCAGGGACGAACCGGGAGTAAACCAAAGAAACAAGCAGATTCCCAACTCGCTCGCTTCAGAAATCGAGACCCCAACTTGCTCGTTCAACATTCCCTTCTTCGAACATCGATGATCGAACCGATCTCTTCGAATTCTTTACATCGCCGTCGTTCAACATCAGGAAAAACACTTAAACATATGGAGAAGAACTTATTGGATCGTCTCCGACCCTCGAGTTTGTCAAACAGTCGATCTTTTTTTGAACCTTTTTGAACTTTTGAAAAGTTTTTACGAACTCAAAGCCCGATTTCACAGCCTTCTCCATTCTCTCTCGTATTGTCACCTTCGTCTTGAAGCAAAACAATCTCACGTCGATAGACAGAAAAAATTCACCGGTTGTTTGCCGGTTTTGGGCACAATTTCAATCTGCCGGACCGAACCGATTGACAACTTTTCCTACCGGTTCCAGCCCTGGTCCAACAGCTCAGCTCAAATGAAAGAAACTAAGTTCCAGCTCACCTCAAACAAAAGGAGCCGACCGGCTCTTGGATCCATCTCCCTAGAACTCATAAGCTTGAACTGTCACAGGCCTAGACGGCAAACCGCGGTTTGCAGGACTCTACTGACTATCATCAGGGTAACTCTGCCACACAAAACCGAGTTCGTCTCTAAATGACGGACTTTATAATCAAAAGAAAAATGATACAATTAAAATAAATTTATTCAGGGATATTATGAAGTTCATGATTAAAGAGAAATATATGTTCTTTAAGCGATAAAATGAGAAGCTTGAATGAGTAGACTGGTTAATTAATTACAGGCAATGCGGCAGGTGTGGTACTTTTCTTTCAGATTATAATTCCTTTAATGGCTGTTGTCTCTTATCAGAGGATGAAATGAATATCTTCGATAGTAAAATTTGATATCTTTCAGATAGTGTTTTCAAGGTTTCTGGCGTGTATAAATCATTGGTACCGCTAAATGAACATTTCATTGATCGGTCCGTAAAATCATAGTTTATTACTAATGATAAATCGTATTTTGATGTGTAGCGCTTTTGTATTACATCTTCGTTATCTAATAATGGGCGTAGAACTGTGTCGTTGTCTAAAATAATATGGCTGCTGGATGCTGTTGAGGATTCCAGCTGGAAGAACGTTTCAATAAACGGTAAACGATTCCCAGTTGTTTGCCCATGGAGTAGCAATATTTCTTGATAAGGTAAATAGGCGTATTGTAGCACTTCTAAGCATAGTTGTTGTACCTGTAAGACTATGTCGTGAAATGATAATTCCGGATCGATTTTCAGTCGATATGGTGATAAGTTAACAAACATCCCAAGAATCGACTGTAATTCTTCACGATAACGATTTGCATTCACGCTACCCACACACTGATCGGTTTTGCCGTTCGACAGCTTGAATAGGTAAACAAAAAAAAACGCCAGGCACAATTGAAACATAGATACTTGTAATTCCTGGGCATATTCACTCATTGTATCAACTACATGTTTATCTAGCTGAAATGTTATGCAAGTACCTAGACCTGTGCGCTTAGAATCGGAAGTTAGCCGGTAATCATACGGTAGCTGTGAGTCTTCGCAAAGGTCGTATCCATCCAGCAGTTGTTTCCAGAATGCTTTCGCTTTGCTCACATCCATTTTTTTTTCATATTGAGAATAATCAATATATTGTAAAGAGTCTTCAGGACTATAGACACGATTATCGTTACAGTAGACTAGTCGAAGATCATTGAAGAATAATCCGACGGAGCTTCCATCAAATGCTATATGGTGAAAGTTGAATAGTACGTAATCGTTTGTAGCTAATAAATCTTTATTAGTGTGTGAAGAACACCGAATAATTCGACATCGAAAAACAATCCCATTATCTAAATCAAAATAAGTTCGACATGTTTCTTCGTTGAATAATATAACTTCCAGCTCGGACGTGTTCGAGATTGTAATACATTCAAACGTATAATAGAATGGATGCTGATCATCATCGATTAGCATTGGTTTCAGAGTCTGCTTTAAACACTGGTCATTTGAATCATAGTTTAATGATGTCCGCAATACCGAGTTTTTGTTGATGATATGTGAAATTGCTAACTTCAATCGCCGTATTGAGATCTGACCACTAACAACTTTTAGTAAAAACGGCATATTAAACATTGCATAGCGACTTTGATCAAATCTTATTTTTTCATTATACCATATGCGTTCTTGCACAAATGAAGCAGTAGCTAAATAAAGTCAAATCAACCGTAAAAAACACTGTAAAAGTTCACGATCATTGGGGATCGACCAGTCTTCTCCAGCATACGCCGGACGAACAATCTCATTAAAGACGAAATTCAAGCAGGATCAAGTATACAGTAGGCAATATTACACTACGTTCACACTAGCACGTTATGCATGCATGAAAGTTATTCATGCTTGAATTTTATGCTTGCATAAGACAGCGTGAATGCTGGTTTTTTAATGCATGCATAAAAAAGATACGTGTGAACAGCTATGCATGCATAGGGTCACAATCATGCACAACTCTGTACTATAAAAGAACAAAATCTGCGAAAAAAGTCCCTTTTTCACAATGGAAACGTTAGTGCTAGTCTACCGTATCAAGAAGTCGTCGTCTCTTCATAAAAAACTGTCGAAACGCCTCTCATTGAGCTCATCACTACATTCCCTACTTCTACTCTGGCCAGTTCGTCACATTTTAACACATGAACGAGATATCTGGCGGGCCAATCGACAATCTCGGTTCTTTGAAGACGAGGTACCACTTTTCTCCGAAGTGTCGCTAAGGCAGAATTTTTGGTTCACACTCACTATCTTCAAGTGGCTCCTTGATCGTCTGAAATCTAAATTAAACCGAGAAAACACGAGATTGCTCATGCCAGTCGCTGCTCCGAAACGATTGGTGATAGTTTTGTATACGCTAGTAGGGCTGATGCGTTGACGTTGATTTTTTTCAATGCAGTACGAAAAGTGAGTTAATTTTAAATTCAACGCAAAAGAAAAGTGCGATGAACTGATTCAACAAACAGTTCAACGTATTTTGGTTTGCGTTGAATTCAATTCAAGAGACTTTGGGGTGTTCTTCATATCGATTCAGCGAACTTTTCTTTGTGCATTGAATTTAAAATCAACGCACTTTTCCCATTGCGTTGAAAAAAACTACGTCAACGCATCAGGCCTATACGCTAGCGAAAAGCTAAAACCGGACCGGCATGCCGGTATACCGTATGCCGATCAGGTCCGGTACAAACGTTGTACCGACCCGGCTCAGACCGGTATTTCACCGATATAAAGTTGAGAGCGATATAGCGGGTTGAACTTCAAACTAATGGAAATTTTCGACTTTCGTTCTTTTTTGCTTGCTTCGATGACCAAAATCAACAACAGCTCGGACGAGAATGCGTTTAAGCCTCTACCTCACACACATTTTAATCGAAAACAATAACATTTCTAACCGGTAAATAACCAGTATCTTATCAGTATTCACCGGTATTCTGTCGGTGTAGAATTTGCCTGTACCGACCGATATGCTACCTGTATTCGCCGGTAAAGGTCTTATCTTTACCGGCCGGTCCTGTCCGGCGCCACTCTTCCTTACCGGTTGCAACTCTGCGTTAGCCACTACCGTTGAACATCGGACGATTGTTAGCTTATTTGGGGCCGGCAAATCAAGTGTTGGTTCAATCCTGTAGGAATTTATACACGCTATAGTCACCTATCTTGTCGATGACTTCATACTCTCTAAAAAATTCCAGAGTAATGTAGAACCCTTTTTTGGCTTGAAGGTTCTATCGTCGGGTAATTTTAAAAACCATTTGGTTTAAATTTTAAAAACCTTTTTTTGGTTCTGCCCGTCCTGGGAAACCATTAAAAGGTTCCACCGTGTCAGCAAAACCTTTCAGAGTTTTGCACTGAACCTTCAATGGTTCTGTCAATCAAAAATACGGTGTTTTACAAAACCTTTTTTCTCAAAATTTTTTCCAATGGTCCTGGAAAAAGCCATCTCGATTTTGACAGAATCGTTTATGGTTTAGCGCAAAACTCTAAAGGATTTTGCGCACATGGTAGAACCTTTTAATGGTTTCGAAGAACGTGCAGAATCAAAAAAAGGTTCTGCAGACCAAATGGTTTTTAAAATTATCCGACGATGGAATCTTCAAGCCAAAAAACGGTTCTGCATTACTCCGAAATATTTTAGAGAGTACAGTTGCCCACGGGAGCGCACCTACAAGCAGTCGTGGACGATTTTCTGAAGTGATGGGAATTTCCGCAATGCGCTGGTGTGGTTGACGGCATTCATTTTATCATCAAGACTCCACAAGAAAATGCTGCCGATCAGTATAACCGCAAAAAAGTTATCATTCAATACACGCACAACTTTTGGTTAACCATTCGTAAATAGAATAAAAGATAAGCAGCAGAAATTTTGAGTTATCTTCTACAGCTATATTATAACAATTATTTGTTGTGACTGGTCGGAAGTGTTCATAACGCTCGTGTGTTCATCAACAGTGCTCCTTTGGACAAGATTTCCGTTTCGAGCATGTGGGAGCCTGCAGCTGTTTATACTTCGCCCTTCACATTGGCGTTAATGCATACATACATTTATGCATGCTCACGTTATGCACGCATAGAGAGTTAATCATGATTAAGCGCGCGTTCACACTACAAAAGTTAATCGTGCATAGCTAATTATGCATGCATAACGTATTAGTGTGAACGTAGTGTTAGTAAGCGATATTGCCCTCGTATTTTTTTCTGTCAGAAACGGATTCTTCTCTCCGAAAATTCGCTCACGGCAGAAGAACCAATTTCAACAAAAGAAGCTTCGGGTGTATATTACTTGCCTTGTGTAATATTTAATGGTTTCCATTGTTGTTGTTCTACCACGAGAGTACCATTTTCTGTCGTGAATAAAGCATTTTTTAATAATTGAACATGTCCAATAATGGTTGATTGTTTAAATAACATTGCAATATTGATCAATTGTTGATTGAGTGAAAATTTTGATAAATAATAATTATACAATTTCATTAACAGTAATGAATTGCCACCCATCGAAAAGAAATTTGATTTCATTGACAATTTATCAATGGATAAGAGTCGACACCATAAAGCATGTATTTCAATTTCCATTTCTCCGTTTGGTTCATCCACATGATCATGGTAATCATCATTATTGTGATGTTGTTGTGTTAATTGTGAAAAATCAGGTTTTGGCAATTGTTTACGGTCGACTTTTCCGTTTGTATTCAACGGCAATTGCTCCAAGATGATAAACCATGTTGGTATCATATATAATGGTAAATATTGTTGACAATAACGTTTCAGTTCTTCGACGGTAATCGTTTCGTTATTTGATGATGACGACGACGATTGAACATAGGCAATTAAATGTTCTTGATCTTCGGGTTGTTGATATTTAATGACGACACAATTTGTTACGTTTGATGATGCATTCAATATTATTCGTTCAATTTCACCAATTTCAATACGTTGACCACGAAGTTTTATTTGAAAATCAACACGACCAACAAAATAAAGTTCACCGTTGGAACCAATTTTAACGAGATCACCCGTTTTATAACATTTCTCAATGACATTTGGAATTTGAATTAATACTTGACGGGTTAAATCATCGCGATGTAAGTAACCGACGAAAACTCCAACGCCACCAATGTACAACTCACCAATCTGATCAATACCAACTGGTTGTAAATAACGGTCTAACACGTAACATTGATAATTAGGCAACGGATAACCGATTGGAATTGGATCTCTCAAAGGATTCTGGTAGCGTTCAATTACATGAATCGTAGTAATGATTGTGCATTCGGTTGGTCCATACACGTTAGCTATTTTACAGTTTGGTTTCACATATTCAAGCAATTTGGAAACTGTCTTAGCTAGCATTGTTTCCCCTTAAACAAGTAAAGTTAATATAACGGTGTGAGGTTGAAACATAGTCCTTTATCGACCTCCTGAAAGTATACATCTCAATGATGTAATGCGAGAAAATGATTTGTATGTCTCCAAGAACTCCACGAATAATTGCATGTGTGATGGCACAAGAAACAGGAACGTTGCGGAAGTGTTTTGAATTACTTTCGTTAGATAATTCAAGTTTAGATGGCCTTGTGGCTGCAGAATGATTACGGTTGAACCAACTATTGCAGCGCCTAAAAGTTCGACCAGGTGGTGGTCGAAAGTGCACGTTGTTGTTTGGATCACAATATCACTGTTATTAAGCATTTTTTTATGTGTGAGAGAGTGCACATACGAGACGAAATGTTGATGTTGAAATTGTGCCTGAAAGAGTGCTTTCACAGTAAGTTACAGCTTGTGTGACCCACGGGTGGCCCAAACAATAAAACGAGGGTTCGTGCCCACGTGTGATCACGTTTTGGCTTTTACAGAAATCTGTTTTGTGACAAACTAAATTCTCAACAGAATTTGTACAAAGAAACTCAGATGTAAAAGATCTTATTTTGGCTACTAAGGGTCGCACCGAACAGTTTAGGTACAAATTGAAAAGAGGTAAACTCACTGCTTTTGGTTGACCCGTTGAACCTGACGTGAACAGCACATAAGCAGAATTTTGAATTGTGACGTCCACCACTGACAAATTTCTTAAATCCACGTCCGAAACAATGGCGCCATAATGTTCTGATGAAAGTATTTCCGTCATGTCGACATATCGAAGGTTCTTTTCACTATTGTTTTCATTATCAAGTATACTTGACAGTTTTAGGTGTGTTCGTCGATGCATTATTACAGTCCGAGTGCTCGTTTCTCTGACTAAATTACGAAGCCGTACGGGAGGATCATCAGGATTGAGAGGACAATAAACACAGCCAACTGTTAATATGGCTAAAATACAAATTATCATTTCAACTGAACGTTCTAAGCATTGACACACGATTTCGCCTAGCTTCACATTACAATTCTGTTGTAAGTGTTTGGATAACTGCAGTACATAATGAAATACTTCTCCATACGTTAATGATTGTTCGTCAAGTAGAATGCACACTTTTTGTGGATGTAAAATAGCTTTTCGAATAAATTCATGATGTATGCATCGAATGCGATTATCATTATCGAATTGTATACGTGTTTCATTGATTTGTTTCAATAAGTTGATTTCATATGGTAATAAAATTGATAATTCACATATTGGTCTTTGTTTCATCGTTGTCGAGTTCATCGACGATGAACCAAACAGTTGTTGAAGCATCACACAGAAACGTTCAGAAATTCGAGCAATTGTGAATTCTTCAAACACATCGCACGAATATTCAAATGAACATAAACTGCAATTTATTTCGCCGAGAAACATCTTTAACGATATATCAAATTTTGCAACATGAATCGGAAGATCAGTTTGAATTTCACAACTAGTATAGCTGTCTGCGGATAATTGAATATCAGATGGAATGTCGCCTTCATTATTATAAAGAAAAAGTGTGCTAAAGAGCCGATTTGGTTGTTGACCATCTATACCGGTGCGCTGCTTAAGTTGCATTATTTCTTGTAGGGGCAGATACGCGAAACGGAATATTTCTTCACACGTGTGCTGTGCATTCATCAGGAATTTGTCACATGTCATGAACGGATTGCTAAGCTTAAATCGATAAGGCAGTGTGTTCACGAAAAAACCTATTGTATTCTGTAGTTGTGACTGGTAGCGGTTAGCATTTACCGATGCAATATATATGTCGATATCACCTGTTAGTTTGTATAAAAATAAGTAGTAACACGCTATACACAACTGAAACATTGTTAGTTTCTGTTGTTTCGCATAATTTATCATTGCCGCAGATGTTTGTTGACCGATCTCAAATATAAATTGTTTTCCTTCACCACTCCGCGTATTCATAATGTTTTCCTGTCGATCATAGGGTAGTTGAAGTTGTTTGGTAATGTCGTACCCATCTAAAAGTTGTTTCCAATATTGTCGTGCTAATTGAACCATACTAGATGGATTTTCATCATTAAACATTTGTTTTTCATATTGAGCATAATCGATATATTGGAAATAATCATCATTTGATATTTGATGAAGCTCATTGTTAGCGTATGCCAATTGCAAGTCATTCAAGAAAAGTGTGGTAGAATAACCATCAAAGGCGATATGGTGAAAATTAAACAGAATATAATCATTTTCGTTCAACATGTTTTGATCGATGGTATTATTATTGCTGTTGTTTACTCG